ACACCATCTTAGCACCAACACAACTGGTTTGTTCCACTTTGGAGTAAGCTGTTAGGGGAAGAATCAGTTTTGTTGTGCGTTTCCTTGACTGATGAAGCCTTCTGGATCGAAGGCGAAATGTTTCAGCACAAAAAAAGAAACTGTCCAGATGACCTGACTGAAAAATGTTGGATCAACTAAAAATGTGCTAAGCTCTAATAACATAAAAACAATAAACACAATACACCAAACGGCAGCACGAGCATGAGTCTGTGTGAGCAGATATTCTCAGTGTACTTACTTTATTCAAGTCTTTTTTTAATCTAAATTACACCACAAACTTGGATGATTGAGATGTACCTGTATATCAGACACAAAGCCTATGAAGTATTAATATTTGGGTTTGTACCACCATTTACCAGGAGATGGTGTCATTCCTCTGATCTGTTTCCAAAACCTTTAATTTTGTAGTTACTTTCCAAGGCTGAGCTCGTGCAGTTTTCCTTTGACGTTTGTCTGACTGAGTCACTTTATTTGTGTCATTTGTCTTTGGTTGTGGTTAAAATGAGATTTCAACTAAATGAAAGAAGAACAAAGTCTCTGCTTTAGAGCGATGATGTCACTTCTGCTCTAAACTTGTGGGTTTGTCGAGTCGGCTGTTTCCACTGCAATAATCAAACTGAAGATATGAGCCTTCCTCTTCATACCGTTTCAGAGTTCCTGTTTAATCATTGTTCAGTAGAAACTTCAGTAACATTGTAGGATTTCTGCTGGGAGTTTAATTTACTGGGTCGGTATTGGTTTATTTTTTACTAATTTTGTAAGCGCTCCAGAAATGCCGCACATAATTAGATAATACAGCATTTACGCTCTTAAAATAGTATCTCAAGTAAAAATGTTGGGAATGAAGCAGCTTGGCATTAAACATCATTGTAGCAGTTAAAGCTTGGTGCAGTCTTTGCACAGTAAATGGGGAGACTGAACATTTCCAAATGCTTTTCCTTTATTTGACAAAAGACTTTAAAGCTCTTTGTCTTGAATTTGAGCTCAAAGCATAAACCGTTAATCACATAATTAATTTTCTTGACCCTAAAAGTCAGGCTTGTTGTAAATGTTCAGCTACCAGAGTCTGAACTGACTCGGTTTTAAAGATGTAAATGAACTTTGCTGTGGTTCTTACAGAAACTGTTGCAGCAAATGTTTCTTAAAGCTCTGACAGGGTTCAAATAGAAAGCGCTTCGCTTGTTAGTTTATAAAAACACGGATCAAGACAAACCCATCGTCTACAATATTCCACGCTTTACAGCGAATTTTACTTTTAACGCCTACAGTCCTGTCCGTTTCCTTAACTGTAGAACTCGATGGGTTTTCTTGTGCTGCCTGATCCCAACGGGTCGCACTCGTACCAAACTAAGACGAGTGAACTGAGCAATCCATTAAAAAAAAATAACAATCCGTCCTTATAATCTACAACATGTTTTAAATAAGTCGATTCAGTTTATTTATATAGCACCAAGTCACAACAGAAGTCATCGGAGGGCACTGAACAGAAACATTCATATGTAGAAATAATAATTTAATACTGAGTATAAGTAACAAGCAAAGGTGTTTGAATGCTAAACTCCTGATAAATGATATCTGCCACTTGTGCTCTGTAACGGAGCGCAGTGCGAACTAAACCTCTGGTTAGTTTCTTTTGGAGTGATCAGCAAAGTTTTCCTGAAAACACTGACCTTGTATAAAATGATGAAAATCTAAAATGTTGCCACATGATTAAAGCCTGCTGCTCACGAGGAGTCTCGTTTCTGTTTTTCTAAATTTAGGTTGTGCTCGCATTGCAAAACGGCTCCCTGTGATAACTTGAGGGAAGACGTGTAGTTGCTGTAGATTCCTTTGAATCCTGGAGAATTTACTGAGGTCTTCAGAAGGATTAGATGGTTGCACTGCTCATCGTCACGGGATTCACTCACCGCTGTGATCGTATCTCATGAAGTTTCCTAGAGACGTGCTCCTAGTTTTAATTTAGTGGTAAAAGTAGGCACACCGAAGCATTTTTGGTTAAACTTGTACATTTATCTTATTGCTATTTTTAAAATCAGGTATTTAAAATTTTCTTAAATGTCTTCATAATTTTGACAGTTCCTACAGGCTCCTAGTGAGTTCAGTAAGTGAGGCAGGTATTTGTTCTGGTCCTTCGACCGGCTGGGTTTGAGAGGAACAGATACACAATGGCAGGTCAAGAATCACATGTTAAGATAGAAATAGTATCAAATGAAAACTATTCACTTTTAACAATTCACTTAAGGGAAGGAGGTCAATTTTGTCCTCTATTAGTCTAATCCTATAACAGCATAACAAGCCGACCCTAACCATAGGATTTATCAACAAGGAAAGTCTTGAGCCCAGTCTTCAAACTGGACAATGTGTCAGCCTCATGGACAGAAACTGGAAGTTGGTTCCACATGAGAAGCCTGATAACTGGAAGATCTTCCTCCCATTCTGCCTTTGGAAACTCTAAGAACCACAAGTAAACCTGTAGTCTGAGAGCGAAGTGCTCCGTTTGTAAAAAAGCCAGGAAAAAGTGTGTTTAAGACTGGGACAAGTTTTACATGAAACGTTAGTTTTTTTTTTAATTAAAGAAGCATCATCTTCTGTTCTGGAAGTGAAACAGTTGATGTGACAGAGGAGTTGTAGTGAATGGACTTCTTGTGTTCAGTCTGTTCACTCTCAGCGCTGCTGATGTGACTTTAAACACCACAGAGTTGCTTTAGTTACAGGTTAGGGATGCACGATGTTGGATTTTTGGCCAATAATCAATATGCCGATATTTTAAAACTTATTTGGCCGATAACCGATAGATATTTTCTCCTAGACCTACTTACAGAGACTACATAGTTTTCTCTGCTGTGGAATTAAAATACTACATTATTCTGCATGGTCTCTGTCAGTTTGGCCTGCAACTAAATGCAGATGCCAAAAAATGGCTGAAAATAATGTAACACTTCAACTTGGATTATGTTTAATGTCAAATTTATTCATG